ACAACCACAGGAAGTCCCAGTTGCGAAGTGTCCAGTAGGAGACGAAACTGTCCAGCCACACCATGACATTAATATGAGCTGTGATTAGATGAGATGATCAGAGGAAGGAGAGTGTCCACACATTTTGGAGTTGAATTGTGGGTAATGTTGGCGGCCAGGTTTTTACAAGGACGGAGAATGTGTGGGATGAAAAAGGCGGTATCTTTGGTTGTGCCGCTTTGATTTTGATACTTTTTCTGAACTGTCTATAATAAATCTGACAATGTTATAGGAATGCAATGCTAAATCTTTAAGGCATCCTTATCAAAGATATTTATGTTTCTCTGTTTGCAACTTCAAGACGGAACATTTAATCTCATTTTTTAAGCCAACATGGATAAGAAGTACTTAACATACTCAGATAAAAAATGTAATTTTAAACATCTATAATCCTGTGACAACTTAACAAACTCCATCTGCTGAGGAAGATCTGGGGATGATGATCTGGTTAGCTTCAATGAGCATCATTCTGAACAATTCAACTGAGGAGAAACTCTCTGACCTCCCATTAACAGCGTTTTCTGGGAGGACCAACACTAGCTACCTATTTAAAGCTATGCTCAACAGCTGTTCAGGCACTCTCAGGTATCAGCAGACGTCAGCAAAAACTTTATACGACTGAGTGAGTGCACGCACATATGTTCAGTTGTGTGCAATGATGAACTGCTCGGGTAGGAATGTGTATGTGTGTGTGTGTGTGTCACCGTTTCACACTGATAAGAGAACATGAAAACATCACAACATGATGACACTTGTTAGAGTCAACACTGGGTAATGAAGAGTCTGTGTGAAAGGTATGAGTCAGGCAGAAAGAGGCGAGGCAGTCAGACAACAATTAGAAGAGAGAGAGAGCTAAAGTGATAAGAACAGAAAATGACAGATAATTGTGCCTTACACTCATTCATTACCTTCACCATATCCTGCGTGTTTGTTTGAGAGTTAGTGGGATATCTTAAAAACGGGTGGAAAGTTATTTCTTTTTGGTGGGATCTAGTTTGAGGATGTTTTAACATTGCAAGACTGGCAGACATGATCAGAGATGTTCTGATACCATTTCTTCCTAGCTAATACCGATTCCGATACCTGAACACTGGCCGATACAGAGTACGAATCCGATACGTGTGCGTTAAAGGTCCAGTGTGTAGGATTTATTGCGTCTTGCAGTGTAATTGCAGATTGCAACTCTCTCCTTTCACCCTCCCGTGAATGACGAACTAGTGTTTGGTTTGTCTGTTCTGGGCTACTGTAGAAACATTACAGTTCAAGATGGCCGACTCCACGGAAAGGCGACCCCATCTGTACATAAAAGGGATTCATTTGAAGGTAACAAAAACACAACGCTTCTTATTTTCCGGTGATTATACACAAATGAACAGAGACCTATGAATATTATATTCATTTTCTGACCATAGATCCTCCTAAATGTTACATACTGGACCTTTAAATAAACAAACATACTGATAGATATACAGTACAACTCCATACAACTCTAAAAATGATCAAAAAGGCTCTCAAATTACTGCACTTATACAGATTCAAATCAAGACGCTTATTTAAAATGTTCAAACAAATATTGAGGTTTGTGCAGCCTTAGCAAGATTAACACACTGAATGCTTTCTAGCCGAACTTGAAATTGTAAAACCTGATGTTATACAGTTCCCACACTCTGTTAAACAAAGCATTACAGACTGTAAAGCTTCATTTACAGTCAGAAGATAACAGAGCCACACACCGTGTCTGCAGAGTATCATTGGCAGACAGCGTCACACAAATGTGTGAAATGTAACTATACACTCTGTGCCACAGTGCGCACAAATGTACTGCAACAGGTTGATCAGAGGAGTGAGGTGAGATTTATGGTGGAAACGCTATAGCACATCTGTTCTGACATACTCACCCCAGATGGACTGGGTTAAAGAATGTACGGGACCTAAATCAAGCTAAAGTCTGTGGCAAAAATCCTGTAGTAAACTCTATGCGGTCAATGACAATGAGATTTAAATGTAATCATGGTGGGGTATTTGTATGCAACACTATTTTTCTCACAACTGAAGAAATTCCTTAAGTGTCAAATTGAACTGGAAGGTCAGTAATTGTGTATTTTGCCATCTCCTCCAGTAAAGGTCAAGAACATTTTATCACTATTCAATATTTTCTTCACTAACATTCTGTTTTTCTCCTGTTTTCCATCAGTCTCTGTCATGTGACCTTTAAATATCCCCCCCCCCCCCCGCCACCGCCACTGCATTCCCTCAGTTTCCTTCCCTCGCCCTTCATCCTCATTCCCCTGTCCTTCCTGCTGCATTTATACATCCTTCCTATTGTACCAAACAGCGGAGGGGATGACAACTGACCATCAACCTGCCGGTGATGATGGATCAGGCATTTTAGCAGGCTGGCCGTCCCGATGGCTGCCGAAAACTGCCTACAAACGCTGTCGATCAATAGCTCTTAACGTACAGCCCTTCAGCCTTCTGCCTGGCTGCTTGAAATCCTGCTCATTCACTGCTGTCCCATCCCAGTACAGAGCGCACACACATATAGAGAGAGCTTGGTTGGCAGAGCTTGGCAGTGCTTCATCAGCCTGAGCCTTGGCATTAGCTGCCTGCTGCGGCTGAATGGAGACCTCAGTGCCTCTCCGACGAGGAAGAAACAGAACACAGGGAGAGAGGGAGAGAGGGAGAGAGAGAGAGAGAGAGAGAGAGAGAGAGAGAGAGAGAGGCAGCAGCAGAAAACCTTAGACGAAGCAAATGTGCAAGACAAAATATATGCAATACGGTGAGGTAAGCATCAAAGATAGAGAGAAAAGAAGAGGAGAGCGTGAGATGAGGGGAGTGACTCCACAGAATGCAGAGCAGGTAGCTGCCAGAGTGGATTACTGCAGCAGGAATGCAGCACTGCCTACAGGGTGGAGGGAGGGAAGAGAGCAGGAGAGGTAGCAGGAGGTAAAATGATGAAGTTGTATACGAGGGGAGAGATAGAGGCATGGTGAATCATACAGCTATTCAGATTGTGCCATTACTGTAAGGAAACAAAGAATTTTGACTGTAAATATATGTTAAGGCAAGGGAGAAACTGATCAATGCTGCTTATTACATTTTCACATCAAGCACACAAAGCTGCTCACATGGATTTTGAGATCTGAACATGTAACAGGATACTTGTTGAACGGAAGTGAGACATTGTTTTGTGTTAAGCCCCAGTGGTTTCTTTGGAATAAGGAGAATCAGGCAGTTTGGATGAGAAGCAACAGCCAAACACGGATGAGTGACTGAGAAGTGTGCAACCAGGAAGGAAAATCACCATAACGTCACGCATAGTTTAAAAAATAATTGACTTGAACAATTACACTTTAAAGGAAAGGTTTTTGGCAAATATTTGCTTTTTTGCCGAGAGTCTGTACCACTCTCGTGCCTGTACGCTAAATATGAAGCTACAGCCTGGAGTTAGCTTATTATGGGAAATCAGCAAGCCTGCCCAAAGGTAAAACACATTCCAGCTGTACCAGCACTTCCCAGGCTCACTTATTAACACTTAATATCGTGTGTGTGTGTGTGTGTGTGTGTCTGTGTGTGTGAAGACGACCTTTGGACAAAGCCAGGCTAGCCTTTCCCCCCTGCTGCCAGCCTTTATGCTAAGCTAACTGTCACCTGGCTCAAGCTCCATAGTCAAGCTATTCAGTTTTAGTACGAGTCACTCTTAACTGCGTAATGTACACCAAAATACATGAGGGACGTGCCTTTACTAGCAGGACACTGACATGAGAAGCTCCTTTTCCTGTTTTACTGTCGGTTTTCACGGTCTTTGTTAGTTTCCGGACTATTTAGGATGAATTCAGCTCAAGCAGGATGTGAACTAGCATCCGGAATAATAAACGCATGTTAATGCAGCTCAGTGAAGACGCACAGAACACGCCATGGCCACATATTGACCTTAAACTGTAGACTGCTGAGTAGACGTGGTAAGACAGTGACACACATACTGTCTCTGGTGACTAACCTGGCCTGATAATATATACACACACACACACACACACACACACACACACAACACACACACACACACATACACACACACACATACACACACTAGCTGCTTGTCCCTGAGAGCAGTGTGAATGTGTATGCGTATGAGTGCGCTGACCCATATGTTTGAGAATATATAAAATACAGCATATATGTATGTGTGCCACTCCTGTGTGACTTCAGGCTACAGGGAAGGAAGAGCGGCGCCGGCGTTTGTGCCCAACAGGAAACAGACTCACAAAGAGCAGAGGAGGGGCGGAAGAGGCAAGGAGGGGGAGGAAAAGGTGGGCAAAAGGAGGAGGATGGGGAGGAGAAGAACAAGAAGAGAGGTGGAGGAGTGAAGGGAGCCAGAAGAAGCATTTCAAATTCAAAACGTTATCAATGCTGTGAATCGATTTTGCCTGACTGGGTGATTTGATACAAGAGAACACACACACACACACACACACACACACACACACACACACACACACACACACTTACTTACTACCTAGAAAATGCTCTCTACAAAAGTAATTGGGAGATTGAGTCGTTTGAAACAAACAAGAAACAAGCTTTAGAAGTGTTGGTACATGTTTGAACTAAATGCCAGGCTAACTCTGCTGAAAGTGGTATCAGTCTTCTTATCTCACTCTCGGAGACAAAAATAACAAACCAACCTTATTTCCCAGACTGCTTAACTATTCCTTTAAGAGACATGAAATATTATTGGTACGCACACAGACATGCATTATGGTAATATGTAAAGTGTAATATATAAACCTTTCACCCGAAAATGCCTAATACTGGATTTACCGGACATTTTGACGTTACGTTAAATGACTTTTATTTAAATTAAATTTGATGAATTTCACAGACATCCAAAATATATGCAAAAAACAGGAAAAATCTGAAATAAATCAACATTACTCAAAACACAAGAAGGCACAACTTACATTTTAGATGCATCCTTTTGTCAGTGGCATGTTAAGCTCCTCTTCCCAAAGTCTCCATCCTGTGGGTAAAAACACACAAGCAGGGCACATGGTTAGTAAAAATGGACTCATTGGTCATCATAATACCAAGACGCACACACTCGTGCAATCTTTCACCATTGTTATGTTTGGAAGTTGGCAAGGCCCCGAGCCTGCGGCCGGGCTGACAATGCACTCACTGTAGGGGAGATCGTTCACAGTCAAGCTAACAGGCTAAGAATGAACTAACTGCTCAGATATGGGACGTGTTCGAAGGCTCCGCAATAGACTCATGCATGAGCAGACAAGCAGTGTTTGGCCACGACAACAGAAGGCCCTATTCAGTTCTCTGGGGAGGCACTGGTACACACACACACACACACACCATTATCATAATCATCATCATTTTAGAAGCTCTCATCTGCTTCAAAACATGTGCATGGTCACACACACACACACACACACACACACACACACACACACACACACACACACACACACACACACACACACACACACACACACACACACACACACACACACACACACACACACACACACACACACACACACACACACACAGACTTGGAGCATTCCTCTACAGTAGCATTCCATATGTTTGGTTAAGCACAGAGAATCCAGATTTAAGACTGGAGTCTGGACTGAATTTAAAGGATGAGAGAGGGAAGTAGAGGGAGGAGGGGAAGATTGAAGAAGAGGAGGGGGTGGGGGGGCTGAAGGAGAAAGGGAACATTCCTGTGAACTGTAAGCAACAACAGGACACTCTGGTACAGAAACAATACAACATACATTAAAGAATGAACCACTAAGATCATGTTTTACATCATGGGCGAGACTCCAAGAGATGGAAAGTTCGAACAGTTTCATGACAACAAAGCAAACTCAATCTCCTGATGATGAAGACCGTGTCAGTTGTATAAGTGCCCCAGAACAAGTCACCTGTACATTTGGACTTTTACTGTAACAAGGTGGAAAAAAGATGTGAGGCTGGAAGCATACAGGCCTGCAGCTAACAACTACTTTCTCCTTTAATCTCCTCATTATTAATTTGATTATTGGTTGAATTGTTTCATATTAGGTTACCACATAGACCTGACAACATGCTAGCAATCCTAGCAACATGTTGTCAATGTGTTACCTCAGATGTCAGTTTGATATTTTTTTGGATTCTTTGGCCTTCCATAAAAGTGACATCTTAAAATTGTCCAACCAACAGTCCAAAACAAAAAAAAAAATAAAAAAATCTGCAAGTACTCACATTTGAGAAGCTGGAACCACTACATTTGAGGCATTTTTGCCAAAAAAGTGATTTTAAATATTGAACCTGTAAAAACTTTCACGGACTAATTTTCTGTTGACTAATCTTTTCAGCTCTAAAAAGCATGGAATAACAAAGTTACTTGCTTATAGAGACTGTTTGTAAACCGTTCAGAAAGAGGGTTCTCTCTGGACTTAGGCTAAACAAACTGAGAAAGGAGAGGCAAGTGATGTGCTCAAAGACAATTTGATCATGTAAGTAGTAGCTATTGATGGACAGAAAGAATCCGTCTTTTAGTTGCTGCTGCCACTCTCATCTCCGTCTCTTTGTGTGTCATCCTTTCTGTTCGTTCCCACACATCCACAGGAAGGAGACAGCTCTGCTGCTCTGCACCAAGCTTTGTCATGTTATATTCATGAAGGCAGCGTCATGACATCGGCACACAGGTTCTTACTGAATCATCTGACGTTCTCACGCTACACAACAATGCTTCTACACTGCACCAAACCAAATGTGTAAATGTGCTGCATGCAAAGCCAACTTTTTTTATATGCTGTATGATCAGTAAATACTCATTTTAATTAAAATATGTAATTTTACAAATTACATTTAACACATTCTTAGCAATCCATAAGACGCCAAATACCGGAGACCACATGTTTGTCTGTGTTTGTATGTGTTCTTGGTCTGTGTGTGTGTGTGTGTGTGTGTGTGTGTGTGTGTGTGTGTGTGTGTGTGTGTGTGTGTGTGTGTGTGTGTGTGCTCTATGTATGTGGGGGGGGGTCGGAGCTATTCATTCAAACAGTTAGCCAACCCATAACCAAACAAAACTGAAAACAGCTGTCTCCTTCTCATCCCTCGCTCCCACTCACGCACACAGCATGTCAGGTTGGGGAGGATTCATTACGTTACTCAGCAGAATAAACTGAAACAGGGTGGGTTATTATCAGTCAGTCGCCAGCTCAACTGACACTTCCAAATCAAGTGTTGTTTCCAGCACACTGCATCCACTTTACATACAGTCATGTGTCATGACAACAGAACTTACACCGTGGTTGAAATCACTATAATGATGTCTGGGCATATTTTATTTTTCAATATCTATATGAATCAATATTTGGCAAATGTATGTAAAATCACACATAAAACACCGTACACCAAACTAAAACAACAACTGTCTGGGTTATTTTACAGATATTCCATTATAACATCAGCATAAACTATAATACTGACTTATTGTCAAGCCTTAAATCCTTTATGTATTTTTGGTATGTATACAACTGTCTAATAGAATCACTTTTTGAATCTTTTGCTGTGGCAGAGATACATTTAAATTATAAATAAAGTACATGGATGCTTTTTTTACTCAAAATAAAAAACACAGCAACTTAATTTTAAGATTCAATAAATTGGTTTTCTTTGAAGAGCTACAAAGAGCATTTTTGGTTCCAGACCAGATTTAGTCCAGGGTTTTCTTTCACAATTCTTCTGGTTATAATTGTATTGTTTTGAACCCCTTTAACTAAAATGATCTTTGTGTCCTATCCCTTTTCACAACAAACGCACTAGTATGCTCTGCACTGCATTAAATGGGGAAGCTTGCTGTTCCTGTTCCTGTGTCAATATGTGATATGATTATCTGTCAGAATTAATTTTACATTAACATCATGTAATGTTTATCGTTGAGTACGCTTTATCACACGTACTGAACAATGGAAGGCTGTTGATAAGTTATCAATGTATGCTTCTCCCACTTAGGCTTACCCTTTCCAAACACATACAGTAGATGTGAGGCCATACACATACACACACAGTCTAATTTGGGTAACTATCTTGCAGGAGAGACTTTAACAATAACACTCATTTGACTGGGACAAACAGCAAATACTACTAATTTAATTTGGGCAGGCGCAGATGCTCATTTAATAATTTTTGAACTGCCAGCCATCAAGCATACAATTTCACTCAAATATGAATGGCACAGAAGATCTAATATTCACAGACACTTCCAAGGAGCAGAAACTCTTATGTGGTCTGAATGGCAATGTTGTCACAGAAATATGGAGCAGCATGGAAAAAAAGGGTAAAAAAAAAAGGGCAGAGGAGCCATGTCGGGTAAAACAAGAGAGGAAACGAGGGAGAATGAAAGAAGGGGGAAGAGAGAGATCACGTTCAATTTCCTCCGCTGGAGAATGTTTCAAGGCCTGAAACTCCATCGTGGGTTCCACTGGCCAGGCGGGCCTCGTTTGCATGGGAGCCCATTTCCTGTGTGTGATTAGCAGAAGGGAGAGTGTGTGTGTGTGTGTGTGTGTGTGTGTGTGTGTGTGTGTGTGTGTGTGTGTGTGTGTGTGTGTGTGTGTGTGTGTGTGTGTGTGGTGCACACACTGGGGGTTGCAGTTCAGAGAGGTCTGGGGTTGTTTTGTCTGCTTGGGGAGGAAAGGAATGCCCAAATCAAACACAGTGAACAGGATGCCTAGAGAGAGAGAGAGAAAGAGAGAGGGAGAGAGAGGAGGACAAGGGAAAGAGACCAAGAGGCAGAAAGAGTAAGCAGATACACCGTGAGGAGAAAGATGGGGAGAGACAGGAAGCAGAGACCCAGAAAGCAGAAGACAGAAGGAGCTAACAAAAGAAAGGAGGAGGGAACACCAGAGAAGAATAGACTGATTTTTCATTTGCTGCCACTGAAGACCCAGAACAGCATTCCTCCTGCTGCCATCTGCATTCCAGCTGGGTGGCAAGGTGGAGTAAGAATTGTGTCTACAAGCTGTCAGATAGAAAACCATCCAAGTCTTTAACTTCACCATGGACCTGCAGAACCTGTCCTAATATCTAAAGACTTGGAGCGATTCAGCCCTCCCCTGTTCCACAAACAATGGCTGAGGCTTTCACACACACTTACTGCTGTCAACGCAAATCAGGGAAGACTATTTTTCATTTATACAACAATAGTAATATGACAACTAGCAATGTCACCGAACACCTTTGTTGACCTACCCAGCTTAACAGAAAAAATTTGAAATATGAGGAGTCCACTATTTAGAATAAATAAGACTTATTAACTCATTAGGGGTCTGTGTTTTAAATGATGATGGTCTTAAGACTTATTTTCATTATAGATGAATCTGCCTATCTTGATTAATTGGTCTATAAAATTCCTGAAAGTAGTGAAACATTTCACAATATCCTAATTTCCTACAGCTCAGGGTGGCGTCTTCAGATTGTATGTTTTGTCTAACCAACAGTTCAAAACACAAAGATATTCAGTTTACTATCACATAAGACAAAGAAGAACAGCAAATCCTCACATTTAATAAGCAGCAACCGATAATCTATGAGTAAATCAGCAAATCGATAAACTAAGCTATTGTTTTCGCTTTGTTAATGGAAAATAAAGGAAACAATGACACCAAACCATGTGATAGGGAAGAATTTTGGATTCAACATCATAAATGAAAAAAGTCTATATAATGGTTAGGCTGTTTGCCGCCTTTTAAAAATGCAACTGCCTTACAGTAACATTAGCTTGTCACTCAAATGGTGAAATGGGTTGCATTCAAATAAATTCATACTAATGTCTTTTTAGTTCGGATTTGATCAAACTACATTTTTTGAGAAATGCACATTGCACACACATTGTGGACACTATGGTCATGTGTATGTTTTACAGACCTGGCGGTGGAACAAACACATGGTGTGTATTTTATTGGCTAATTCCAGTATCTTATATTTACATTCAACCACCTTAAGCCCAACAAATAAAGA